CAGTTTTAGGCATATAGCTTGGCATTCACCTGGAGGTTAAAACCTGGAGAACCTTTGCCATAAACTACACCCCAGTCCTGGAGGGGGGCTGCAGCTTTTAGGGCATTTGTCTTCCTTCCTTCTCCTGCATTCCAAATATCACTATCTGTCATCATGCAAGAAAGAGACCACAGCCAGCCAAATTCCATTATAATGCACAAATTGTACCTTCACCTGCACTTAGGTTAAATTTAGAATTCAAGTGCACTTATGTGAGGAAAATAACACAAGGCAATTTTTTTTTCAATCAAGTGGTTTTTTATTATTTTTCTTGAATAGGAATTTAAGTTACTTCAATGGTCACCGAATTGCTACAGAAAACTTTCCAAAATGATAGGAAATAAGCAAAAAGGATCTGACCTTGCCAAGTTCCCACTCAACAGTGAGCCTCCCAGAGCTGAGCAGCCTCAGAACCCAGGGGTCCCACAGTGCAGGGAGCGGGGGAGGGGGGGTTACAGAGTCTTTGGAGGCACCAACTCTCAAGAGAGTCCAATTGCTTAAAGTTGAAATGAGTGAGAATTTATTCACAACATATGCCAATCTACGAAAGGGATTATGCAAATGGCTGGAAGGGGACACTTAAAAATAGCAGTAGAACAGGAGCTTTGGTTTCCAGCATGCTGGATACTAGTCAGAACTTGGCTAAATGTGAATCCATCTCGGCCCCTTTTTATTCCCTTCATCCTTCCTCCCAACACCAGCAATTAAAGGGGGGAGATTTACACTTTTTTCCTTGACACCAGTGGGAACTGGAGGTAACAAGTGTCAGGTTGTCTCAGCCCAGACCCCTTGGCAGTCAGAATCCCTCTTTGGTGTTCTCTCTGGAGAGAAGATTTGTATTAGCAGAGCTTTAAATATATATACCAATTTCTAGAGATTTCCAATTGGTGAAGTGCTGGGTGATTCATTTTTTTGCCCTAATCCAGTACATTTGCTACTGGAGATAGGCTGAAAAACCCCTGCAGTTGCAGTACTGTCGTTCCCATACATACTATGCAACGACTATTTTGCTGATTTTGAGGCCCTCTAGTATACAAGGGCAAAAAGGTAGGGGACAGGGAAGGAATCTCTGCGACTTGACTTGTTCGTGAAGCATGCTGATGTGATTTGTTCTGTGGGTTATCCAGCGATCTCAGAAACTAGAGGCTGTGAGCTTCCCTCAGACTTCCATCCACCGGTCACCACGACCCACCCCACCCCCCCAAGCTTACACAGCCCCAACCTCAGCTGGTCTTGTCTCCTGCAAGGATTGCTCCAAGGGGCCATCAGAACGTTCTCGTCTTTCCTCCTAGCATCCGCTTCTTTCTGCCCAGGACATGCTCCCCGCTGTAGCCATGAGGGCGGATTTTCAACTCCACATAAGGAATGGAGAATTCATGTCCTTTCCACGGCTCCCAGTTCACCCCCTACGTAAAAAAAGCCAACATCAAGAAGAGGCACTTGGGAAGAGGGGTAAGGTGGGTCCTGGTACAGGGACATCCTTCTTGAGCTGTGAAACCGCTTCCTCTGTGCTCAGGGGAGAGCAAAAGAGATGAGCAGCGCCTGGGGTGTGAGAAGGGCAGTGAGGGCAGGACCTGGGAACACGCGCCCTCTGCCGGGCAGCTGGGGTAGACAGGCTGAGGACTTGGAAGGACTTGGGGTGGGAGGATGGGGTTACGTAAGCCCAGGAGGTGGGCGAGGCGAGAGCAGCCTCAAAGGTAACACGGGGCCAACCTGGCCAGCAATGAGCACATTATCTCTGTCTCACTTTTCCTCCCCAAAAAATTGAAGGCAAAAATAAACATTAATTGGCCAATTGTGTAAAATCATTTTCAATTTAGATTGTTTAGATATTAGCTCCGGGGTAACAAACAGCCTGCTGCAAACTAAATTTCATTTTATGTCTTTTGACTGGTGAGCACAATAATTTTTAATTCACTTAATAACCTTGCAACCTGGCCAATAAAGAGCCCAAGTGACCAATTTTATGTATTTTAATTTGTGAGGTAAATAATAAACAAGAAGCTAAATGCCTTGCAGACTGTGAAAAGCACATTAACCAGACGAATGTCTTTTATTAGCAAATGCGGGGATGGTTTAGGGCATGCTGGCTGCTCATTTCAAATATTTGATATCTGATCACATGCTTCCCTGAATCAGGCCACCCACTGCCACCGTGATTCATGAACCCACCCTCCTTGGCTTCCCCAGGGGCAAATTTCTTCTTCCCTTTGAAAAATCAAATAAGGATTGGGATTCCCCACAGCCTGGTCAGGGCCAAAGAATCAAAATGTACCTGGGCCTTAGATGTGCTAATATTTACAGTAATGTCAGTATGAAGTGAGTTCTGGGGAGAGGTGGCTTCCTGAAGGCTAGGATCAGGACTTAGGGTGGGACTCCGAGAGTTTATGGAGGGTAGAGAATTATTGACGAGTAGGAACAAAGATGCAATTTTCAGGAAGCTGAGAGGAAGCAGGCAGCAGATGCCCTGTAGCTGGCAAAGAGTCAAGGTGTCATACACGGGTCGTGGAGGTCCGAGCAAGGGGAAGGACAGGAGCCCTCCTAGACTCTCAGACCTGTCACACACTCCTGAAGTGGAGAGGCTGGTCTAGCACAGTGCTCTAGGCAGACTTTGGATGGCTTTAGGTGAACTGGATCCAAGGATGGATCTGACCTAAGCCAGAAAAGACTGTGTTTTTCTAGTGATGAAAGGACTTGAGAGAAATAGCTCTGGTTTAACTAAGAGAAAAATTAGAAGGGATTGTGAAGTGTATGTTATAAACCAAATGTCTGTGTCTCCCCAAAATCCATATGTTGGAGCCTTAACCCCCAATGTGACAGTATTTAGAGGTGCAGTCTTTGGGAAGTAATTAGGTTTAGATGAGGTCATGAGGGTGAAGCTCTATAAGGTATGAATGTCCTTATAAAAAGAGGAAGAGACCAGAGCTCCTGTCTCTCTGCCATGTGGGGACATAGTGAGAAGGCAGCTGTCTGCAATTCAGGAAGAAGCCCTCACCACGAAGCAAGTCTGCCAGCACCTCGATCTCGGGCTTCCCAACCTCCAGAACTGTGAGAAATAAATGTCTGTTGTCTAATCTACCCCATCTATGCTATTCTATTACAGCAGCCCCAGCTGACTAAGACAGCGTCCATGTGGGAACTAAAGTGAGACCCACATCATCGTTCCATATACAGCAGGGGGCAGCCTGAGCTTTCCACTCACCTGCCACTAAGTAAGTGAATGCACAGCAGGCAGAGGCCACAGCTCATAGGCAGGAAGGGCCATGACCTCAAAGAAGTCATGACCTCAAAGAAGCTCTACTGCCCTGACTGGAAGCCTTGGAAGAAGAGGGGCCACCCTACTAGCCTGGAGGGCATCCCTGTGGGAGCCGAATGTGGGCAGAGCCTGGGACAGAAAAGATGTTCATCTGTCACCTACCTCGCTATGCTTGGTCTCCCCGTATCTGCCATTGGGGTTGGCCAAGTGGCAGTTCTTGTACCACCAGCCGCCATGATGCGTCAGGGCACAGTTGCTGAGGGCGATGTCATTGTCTCTGTCGAAAGTTGTAAACTTCCATCCGTTGTGGTAAGTAAGAGCATCCCCTGCAGGAGAGAAGAGACAGGAGGTGAGAGCCCAGGATTAGCCACAGAGATAATCATATTCTTGCCCGAAAGAGGACCTGGCAGGAAAATCTCCAGGCATGAAAATGCCAAGGATCCAGTCAGATGTCACAGGGAGTCACCACTCTCTCAAAATGGCCAAAATGAGGACATGGCACATATGAACAGGTCCTCTTTCCTGGCCTGTCACCCAGACTTCAGGCCCATTTCTCCAACGGCCTTCACAGCATTTTCACTTGGAAACTCCCCAGTCATGGCAAATACCCAAAACCAAATGTACTGACTTTCCCATGGCCCCTGACCAGCCGTCACACAAGACAGCCACTTTCCATCCTCCCCATCTCTGCCATGGCTCAACCCTTCCTCCCACCACCCAGACCTGAAGCCCCTGCCCCATGCTGGACAATCCCTCTGTGCCCCTTTCTCGAGCCCTGCCTCTGCAGAACACTCCCCCACGCCCCACCTCTCTGCCCCCAAGGCTGCTGCCTCGGCCTCTTCTTATCTCTGGGCCAGCAGCTTTCTCTCTGGCATCTTGTCTGCCAGCCCCTCTGAAGCTTAAACACCCATTTTCTTCACCTCAGGCCTAACGTCCTACTTCCTACCACTTGGAAGTGAATTACTCTTCCTTGCTTTGCAGGCCTGTGACTTGGCTGTTCCTATGACAATCTCACATCCCACTGTCCCCCCCAGGCAGCCTCCACTTGTGGAGTGGACAGGTCCACCTTCCATGGGGTTTCTCTCTGCCCTTCATTGGTCCAAATCCCAACCCTCCCTCAAAGCCCAGCTCAGCCCCCTCCTGAGCCTCCCAGACACCCTCCTCTCCACACACACGCACACACACACACACACACACACGCTTTCTCTCTCACACACGTGTGCACATGTATGCACGCACACGCATGCACACATGCACCTGAACTTCTGCAGCCATTCCAGGGATATATGTACAATTTAGCACTTCATCACACCCTGTCTGGAAATCTGCTTTAATTATTTTACTTGTATTTATCCTATTTGTCATCCTTTATAAGTTTACCTTCTTTTTCAGCTCATAAGAGGCAATAGGGCCCATATCAATCATAAGCTTCATCACATTCTGTTCCTGCAATAATGATTCTTACATTTACATCTAATCTCTGAATTTACAGATCATTTCCATGTACACATTCTCATCTGACTCTCACAGCAAGCTTGCAAGGTGGGCAGGACAGCTCATAGTCCCATGAGGAAACAAAGTCACAGAGGTGAGACTTTAGGGACTTGTCAAGGTCTACAAATGGCAGAGCTGGGACTCAAATTTTGGTCCTCAGATTCCAAGTCCAGGTGTCTTTCTGAGACACCAATCCACGCAAAGAAAGGCACACTGTCACTTTATCCACACGCATTTCCTCCTTCAGATTTCTGGCAGATAGTTAACAAGAGCTTGAAATTTCACCCAGTGTCTCCCTTAATAACATTATTTAAACGAGCACAGCTTACCTAACTGGCTAGAAAGTTCCCAGAGCTGTTTTCTAAGAATCTGGGCAGAGGCTTTCTTAAAAATGTGTTTGTGGTTATCTAACCTTGGGCACTGGGATAAAGAAAAGTGAAGCAGGTTTCAGCCCAACTGTGGGAGTTTTTTTCTGCAGATGGATTTTCTACCCTCTAGAAATTAAAGCCATCCTAACATTCAGAGTGGGGATAGTGACAGTAGTCATGAATCAGAAAAGAACTTTGCCCTGATCACCAGGCCCCAGCTAGGACAGTATCCTGATTTATTAAGCGTATCTCCTTAAGTAAGATAAAGTAGTTGAGCCAGTGGTGCTTAGACTCCTTCCCTCCTATTGGAGTTTCAGGAGGAAACACTGATGAGAGATAAAGACCCCAATTCTGGCATTATGGCTTTGGGTGGGAAGCTGTTTCTTCTTAGGTGGGGGTTGGAGGGGTTAGTGGCAGACCCATAAAATGTCTGAACCCAAGCTCTGGGTGGGAGCCACTGAGCTGGTCATGATCCATCTCATCAAAATGTCACTCTGAAACGCCTTTTCCTCCAGCACTTCACAGGACACAGAAGATGACCCTGGCAGCTGCATCATCTCAGACTAAAAGGAGCCATTAACATTGTATCTGCTGTTAAGTCACACACAGACACAGGACGGTGTGTCTGGACTTTGAATGTCTTTTGCCTTGGAATTAGGAGTGGGCGAGTAGAAGAGCGATTTGTGCTACTATTATAGCTTTCCCTTTTCTTCATGTACCCATTAATTTTTTCTCTTTTTCAAGCACCAGCATTTAAAAACAAGGAAGATATTTGGGGTAGAACAATTCTTCACCGTGGACAGTTGGCAAACCTTGCCCCAGCCCCCTATATTCAGGGAGAGCTCCCCAGCCACATTCCCCAGTGTCCTAGGGCCTGGCCCATCCCTGGTCGGGCACCACTGAGTCCCACGCATGTGGGACTTGAGATCAGCTATGAATGACTTGTCGGTGCATAAAAGTCATTCTGCACAATTCTGAATGTCTGTCTATGTTTTCATTATAATTGCTGAATAGATCAATAGCATCTTGAAGGTAGAGCTCATCAGATAGCCTCCCTGCCCCACTGTAAGGACCCAGAAGCAGAAACTAAATTTACACAGCATTACCTTGCTGGAGTTTCCTTCATGAAGGAATAATGGGCTTTCCAATATGACTTCAGTGAAAGTCAAAAGGTGAGGGCCCACCTGGACAGTTTCAGCAGGGAGCAAGTCTTAAACCACATGCTTCTGCCGGGGCTGTGCATCTGTCAACTCTAATCAGGCTAGCAAGGAGTTAGAAGCTGGGGAGAGTTGGCATGTGCACGGAGATATCAAAATGTTCACCTTCCATTTGAACGCTGTGTCCTCTAAATAGTGCCCCATCATTAAGGACATGAGTAGCCAGAAGCTTCCTAAATTTCAAACCCTCCTCATGGACCAATCAGCATTTACAAGGAAGCTAAAACTCCACTAACCCCACCACTGTAATTCGGAATTTAAAAGTGGGAATGATAGTGCACATGGGAAGACTAGATCGCTGCCTAAATGCTGTGTGCTCTGAAAATCTCCTATTGAAAAATACATCCTCCACTGACCGGCACTGTTGGCCTGAACAACCTTAGAACAGGAATTATCCCCTATTCACAGTTAAAATGCAAATAGAGTACCTGGGAGGAGAATCACATTAATTCATGAATATGTTCACTCCCTTTCGCTCACTTCCCCATTAACATCAGTTCATTTACTGGGTTATTTGAACATAGGCCTCAGAAAAGGTAAGTTTTAATGGTTGAGGAGAGAGGAACAGGCAGCCCCAGAGGACAGGCCTGAATGAGGTCCCCAACCAGGAGGCCAATGAGGACACCCAGTTTCAGGGAGACATGTGGGGCACAGGAGCCAAAGGGAAACACTCAGCTTCATGTCTTGTCCAGGGAGGGTCCCACAAATGGAGCCTATGAAGACTGGTGCTCTAGCCTGAGAAAGAAAGTCTGCAGCTAATCGAGCACCGTGGTCAAGAACAGAGAACGAGGTATTGGAAGCAAAAGGGATGACCACACAGGCTCCATGTGGACTGAGACCAGAGCAGGAGGAGGCCCACGCAGCCTACGGGAGAGTGGAACGTGCGTACCCTATTACAGCAAAGGGTTAGGAAATCCCGCAAAACGCTGTCAGGTAGTCTGATCTTATTCAGAGACTGGAGGAGGTGGTGGGGTGGGGAGAGGCAGGAAGTGTGCTTAGTCCTACAAAACAGCATCTATAAACTGTTTATGATTATTAAATTATTACGGCTATGTAAATCATTTGGTTATTACCCTCATAATCACATGAACGTCTATCTGTGTTTCCCAGTTGTATTTTAGCTGCCTTTTTCCTGTGCCTGACTTTTGTGTTTTATATTACACTTTTGCTGGACTTAGTACAGCCTGTTTCCAGGCTCTGGAGTCTCAGAATCCCTGAGGGAAGAAGTAACAGTATCCAAAGCAGGACAGGCTCTCCTAATGGCAATGCCTTTTTTATTTTTTTTTTAAATGATTGTTTTTTTCCAAAAACAATTCTTTGCACACTTTTTCCCATCCAACCCCTACCTGGAATCCTTGAACAGTTTTCCATGTGTGTAGCCCAAACTCCTCATACCCTGGTGGGTGCCTACCCCTCCACCTCTGTCTCCTCCCATGTCACCATGTCACCAAACTCACTCCTTCCTTGATCCCTATGGAACCTATTTGGGTCTCAGGAACTATTCTTCAAGATATTGAACATGCCTGAGATTATACAGAAAAGTCCTGTGAGCAATTTCATTGTTTAAACTCACCTACTCTGTGCCAGGCCCTGTGGGAGGCCCTGGGAAACAAGAGCAAATGCAAAACTCATGTGATTGTTTTCAGAATGAAATTATAAGATCTCAAAGAAACTCTGCATTAGCAGATGGCCACTTCAGATCATGGCCCCAGACACTCAGAGTTTCTGTTCATAGTCCTCTGCCATCCGGGGTTCTTGAGTGCAAAATTTAGAGAAGTCCTGGAAGGTTTCAAGAGTGCACCCCAATTTCCTAGCCTCTGCTCAGTCCTTGCTCTCCCCTGGAACCCCCAGGCCTGGGGAGCCCCTTCTTTTCCTCCCATCTAAGTTCTACCCTTCTTTCAGATCCAACTCCAGCCCCCGGTCCTACCAGAACCTTCTTCCTTCAGTCACTTTGTTCCTCAGTGTATCAACTCTCTCCACACTCCTGTAGCTCTTTATTTTCCTTACCACTTAGCTGACTCTGCAAAAGGTACCTTATATTCTTCCTTATCTATTTACATGTGACTCTAAAGAGAAAGACCATGTCCCATCCAGTAGGTCGATTTGGCTGGTAACGCATTCCTACATAGTTATATATAATGCAAAAGTGAAAAACAAACTTACTTGCTAGGGTTTAAAAACCATAAATATAGGAGTACTTCAAAAGTTTTACGGAAAAAATTCATATAAAGATAATACAAATATTCCCATGAACTTTTTGAAGACCCCTTGTGTAGGTTTTAAACTACTTGCATTAGAAAAATAACCACACCTCCCCTCTTCAGTAAAATACTTACTGGTTTAATCCCTGTATTTCAGTTATGTTGCTTAATTTCGTTCTTTCCTTCACAACTGAACATATCATCAACTGGCTTAAATCCCACGAGCAGCTGACGGAGACTGAAGACTCCCTGCCTTCAGCTGAAATGCCCATTTCTGTGTTGTTGTATTAAGCTAATGAGACCTATGCTTCTTACTGTTTGAATCAGCACTTTCGTTTTTTTTGTCTTTACTTGTAGCAAAGTGCCATAAAATGCTTAAATAACAACACACACACACACACACACACACACACACACACACACATGCTGCTGTGCACACAAAGTGGACAGCCACACCGCCGAGGCTGAATGAAAGGCTGGCCGGCACCAGGAAACTGCTCAGGATGTGGGCGCGTTGGCCCATGCACGACAGCCTGAGCTGGGGGAGTGCAAGAGGAGGGTTTATTGGGAGAGGGATGGGTGTACAGTGCACGAAAGTCCCAGTTTTATGAGGGTTGAGCGTTGCTTTAACTACTTTGTACACTCCAACCCCCTGGCCCCCACAGGGAGTAGGGCCTCGGTCATCCATAAGGACAATATTCCACCCCCAGATCCATGGCACCTGACAAACCAGTCCTTAGACAAGAGACAGCAAGAGACCCTCACAGCAAACAAACATTTTTTCTTACCTGCTGTGCCTCTGTATTTCCCAACAGTCAGCTTATACCGCTCCTTGCTGGAGGCCACTTGGAAGAAATCATATATGGCATAGGCGGATTCATTGGCAGTCTGTAAGTCCACTCTCACCTCATACCGGGTAGAAGTGCTGGTTGTGAGGTTGTGCAGCTTGTCAAGTCCTGAAAATAGGAATGGAACTCCAATAGCCAATCAAGAGAAGCATGTGAGCATTCACCACTTGCATCTGAGACTTTCAGGACCAGAAGTCACCTTAGCCTTCACCTGCTCTGCTAATAGGAGGCCTTCCCAACACCCTCTTTTGGGTGGTTCATTTTCTCATCCTATTATTTCTTTGGCACAGTCATGCTAGTTCGTATGGAAACTACGTCCCATGGAAGGAAGTAGTGAGGGGAGCAGAGTAATCATGAGCCAAATCTGCCTCCACTGGCTCCATGTCTCTACAACAGAAGCAGTTCTATGTATCACCCAAAGTAGAAGAGCAGATCAACCACTCACTCTAAGATCGCTGAAGAGACTTTGTACCAAGCAAACCACAAACATCATCTACTCTATTAGATGCTGAGTATCCAGATGATGATTTTTTTTAATTCTTCATTTGCAAATTTCACTCTCTGTGAATTATCTGCTCCAGAAGAGAGCAGAGGGAAATGGGGAGAAAACAATGTCCATAACGCATTACTAGCAGAATTTCAGGGACTACTAGAATGGCCTCCCAATAATAGCTCAGAACCCCAATCAGTCAACTATTTTTCTACTACTGTGGTTTCTAAGAAATTCAGACTCCAGGCAGATCACGTAGAGCTTAGATACAGCATAAACACCACCCGGGACAGTCCTACCTTTTTACAAGTCCAGAGCACACTAGAGCCTTCCCGTGAGCAGGGCCCTACCAACACCCTGCTGGCAGGTTCCCCAATGTCCCTGTCACTTGGACCTCTCCCTGAATGTGGTGGGATTCCTCCAGCTGCCCGACCAGCTGGTCAAGGGGGAAGTCACCCTTCTACAAACCAGCCCTCCGGGATTCTCAGAGATCATACCAAGCCAGAACTCCTTCATGGGGTCCCCAAAGCCTTCCACGTAGCTCCGCCAACGCTTGAAGAAATCCAGCTGCCCAGTGTTCCGCCTCTGGAAGACCTGAGAAGAGAGATGGACACTTCACGCTGACACACTGGACAGACATGACTGAGTGGAAGGGGAACAACATTTGTGTTTCCCAAGGTGGAGCTGGGAGCCAAGAGGGACTATGACCCTGCCCATACACAGATTTCCTCCAACTAGTACACCTTTCTTTCTTTTTTTTAGAAAGTATCTTTATATATGTATGTGTGTGTATATATATGTGTGTGTGTGTGTGTGTGTACTGATATACACATATATATATATATCAGTAGATTCACTATGTTGGTTCTACTATATTAATAAGCATTCTTTACATGTACAGCAATAGGCTATGTACAGAAAATGTGTCAAAAAAAAAAAGCACAGAAGGTACCTGTCCTCAAGAGATTCCAATTCTAGAGCAAGAGGAAACAGGGAACTGGTGATTCGGTTGCTAGTGGTGGGTTGTGTAGGGCAAAACACTCCAGACCTCTGCTGGCTCTGACCTGTAACATTCAACATCTATCCAACTAAATAAGAGCATGTTATATTCATATGTTGTCTTCTCCTCCCTTAAAATAGGTTGAAAGTAAGAATTATTTTTTAATTCACTTCATTCCTAACAGCAATACTTACAGAAAAAAAAGGTCGTCCAACAAATATTTGCCAAGCATCTACTATGTACTGGGCACTGTGCAAGATGATGTGCAAAGTGAATAAACCAGAAATGGTCCCTGCCCTCATGGAGCTAACAGTCCAGCAAATAAAATAGCCATGAATTAAACAAGCAAGCAAATAAACATGCAATTAAAACTGTGATAAGGGCTGCGTAGGAAAGATGCAATGGAACCACAAGAGCATAAAGCAGAAGGACCTGACCATGGAGCCAGGAAAGCTCCCCTCAGGAAGAGTGGTCAGGCAAGAGGAATGGAGGGATGTTGGGGCTGCAGGAGGCTGATTAGGAAGGGACAGGAAGGAAGGCTGGAAAGATGGGCACAGGTCTGTCCTGGTAAGGCTTTTACAGGTATTGTTGAAGATGCTGGCCCATTGAACGACCAGTGAAAATTATTCAGGGGTTTTAAGCAGGAAATGAGATATTCTTATTCAGATCTTGATCAGATCCCTCTAACTGCAGTAAGAGAATGGACTGGCCAGGCACAAGAGTGGAAGTGAGATGACCAGTAGGAGACCACTACAGAGCACAGGTGAAAGGAGCTTGGACTAGGGGCTGCCCTGAGGATAACAGAAGTGGAGGGAAGGTAAATTGACAGATGTGGTGATAGACAGAATGTGACACTGAAACAGGAGGAAGTCAAGAGTGATTCTTATGGTTTTGGCCTGAGAACTGGATGCCTGTTCACTCAGCTATTCTCTCAGATGGGTGATTCTGAGAGAGACGGAGTTTTGTGAGTGCATCATGAGCTCATTTGGGGACATGGTAAGTGTGAGTTACTCTCTGAGGTATCCTGGTGAATGAAGAGGCCACACAAGCGGCTAAACATAAGAGCTAGAGTTCTAAAGAGAGGTCTATGCTAGACGTGATAAGGTGGGAGTGTGTCTGAGACAGTGCAAGGAGCTCACCAAGCCCCGTCTCACTTCCCTCTTCCTGGAAGCACAGGAAGACTTCCTTTCCAGCTTCTCTTGCAGTTAAGTAGGAGCCATTTGACTAGGTCTAGACAAGAGTCTGTAAGCGGGAGCACAGGAGAGTGGTGGGTTCTCCATGCTCTCACTTCCGTTGCCATATGCACGGTGCCATGGCGAAGGCCACACGTTAAACTGGCAGAGCCACAGGTGGAAAGAGCCTGAATCCCTGAGTCACCATGCATAAGTGGTTGTAGGACCTACAGAAGACATTGCACATGTGAGAACAAAACTTTGTGTGTTAAATCATTGGAATCTGGGGTTGGTTTATAACTGCAGTGTAGCTCATTCTGTCCTAACTAATAAGGGGAACCTTGGGAACACAGAGGGTAAAATGAAGTCACAGGAAAGAAAATGGAAACTGAAAAGATACAGCGGTCTTGAATCAAGCCTTGAGAACCCCCAGTATATAATGGCCACATCGAGAAGGATGAGTTCTTAAGGAGAGAGAAGGAGCAAGTAAAGAAGGAAAACTAGAAAAATGTGGAATTACAAAAGCCATAGAGAAAGGTGCAGTCGGGAGTGTCAAATACTGATGAGAAGTCGAGGAACATGAGGCCAAAACCGTCCCTGGAATTTAGTGACATGGAAATCACCGGTGACTTTAGCAAGGGCTCATTAGTGAGAGAAAAGGACAGAGCCAAACTTGAGCAGGCTGAAGAGTGAGTGAGAAACAAGGAAATGAAGAGAGAGTTGGGCACTACCAAGAGTGTGGGCTGCCTTCTTTGCAAAAATCCCCGTATTTGGAGAAGGAAGGCAGTTCCAGTCAGAGTAAATTAGATTCTTTTATATGAAGCAAACTTGAAAAGCACCTAAAAGCTAAACATACTTGTGTGCACGATTGGAATTGATAATACATATAATTCCACATGACCTTGACAGCCAAGCTCAAGCCATTCTAACTAACCTCAGAAATGATTGCCACATACCAAAGCCAGGGACTGCATCTTTCTCTCCACCTATTTCTCTTTGTATTCATTCAAATGCAAAAGTCCCTACACAAAATCTAATCTCCTTGCTCTTTTCTACCAGGCTTCACAGCTTGTGCTTTGAAGTAAAACAAATTGTCTTGGATTTGGTAAGGTAAACGTCCTAAATATTTGTGCATCCTTTACATTTTTCCCTGGGAAGAGACAAGAAGGGAAGAGAGAGCAGGTCGTGCTGCAACACTGCAGAAAGCTCCACATGGGACCTCACACTTAACTCCTGCTGAAGTGCCAGTCCATGTTTGCTGGCCCAGGAGGAGCTGAACTAAGGCACCAAAGGGTGGAGGAAAGCTCCATACTCTCGAGTCTGACCACAGGCACTTGCTGGCAGCAGTTTGGTGAGTCAGTTGTTCTTATTCCTGAGCCTCAGCCATTGTTGTAAACAGGGACCGCAGTGTGGAGGAGGAGTCTACCTCACAGAGGTGCTGAGAGGACTAAACGAGATGGTCCATGTAAAAGCGTTCTACAAACGGGAAAGAGCTACTGAACAGAGTTTAGGAATGACCATGGCAAACAATTATACATTCTTGCAATTAACAGTTTTGTTCTCTCTCCCCTTTTCTCAAGTGTCTGTCTTTTAAAGATGCCCCATTCCTTTCCTGGCTGTCTTTGTTTTTCTTCATTCATTTATTCACTACTATTTAATCATACTGAGCATCTGTTAAGTGCTGGCTCTGGGGCAAGTATTTATGATGCCATTTTAAAGATGTTAAAGTCCAGAAAAGCAAGTAGCTGAAGTCATGCAGTTAATTACTTAGTAACTTATCTAAGGATAAAACACAAATTTTCTTATCTTTCATTCAGAAAGTTTGAAAATGCCAGCTCTACTGAGTCTATTTCCCAAATGGCATTTCTTAAGTCTCTAAGGACTGATTAATTCAGCAAGGTGCCTGGTGCAACCTTTTCTGTGGGACTCTTCCTATACAATGGACAGTGGAATCCTAGGATGGACCTGGCACCCATGTTTGGTTCCATGTCCATTACGTCAAATCCTACTACAACGTCAGGTTCAAATTCAATCCTGCCCTCCTAGTACAGACACATTACAAAGGCATTTGGTCTCTATCTCCAGGCAGTGAACATAGTGCCCAAGCTTGATAGAAACTTTTCAGCTACGTTTTTTCTTTTTAATAATGCTACACCTTGGCCATAGAAGCTTCCAAAAATAATTCTGGTGATAACAGACACATTACAAAGGCATTTGGTCTCTATCTCCAGGCAGTGAACATAGTGCCCAAGCTTGATAGAAACTTTTCAGCTACTTTTTTTCTTTTTAATAATGCTACACCTTGGCCATAGAAGCTTCCAAAAATAATTCTGGTGA